GTGCTAGTCATTGTCCAAAATTGTGTGCATGGGGAAGTTAGAGGACCACTTAAACAGTGGGTTCTGCCCTTCCACCATGTGGGTTCTGGGAATCACACAGAGGTTATCAGGCTTGGTGACAAGTGCCTTTACCAGCTGAGCCATCTCACTGGCCCACAATGTTTTAACTTTATAAACCAGAGACGACTATATCTTATGTAAAGTTCTTCTCTACTTTCCATGGAACGAGGGTTTAACTGAGCACTAATGGGAGTATTTTGTAATGATGGAACGTTGTTGCGCTACTTCTAATCGACTACTGAGGCTGAAGCCTGAGTTAGTGTTACTTTGTCCCAGTATTGCATCACAGGGCCTTCCTCCCCCTTGTTTAGGCAGCAATATATTCCATCGCATCTCGAGATCGGAATTAAGTCAAGGACTGTTTTTGGTTTTGTTCTTCTTCACATTGTCTACTTTGGAGGATTAGGCAGCTGTGCTTAACATATAAACTTTGAGTTGCTTAAGAGGTTTTTGTGTTCTTTTTACACTTTTTTATTTATTTAGTATATGCATGTATGTGTATATAATGGTTATATGTGTGGGTAGGTTCATCCGTCATGTTGTTTCTGGGGATCAAAGGCAAGTCTTTAGGCTGGACAGAAAGCATCTCTACTCAAGTTGATGGGTAGTTTTTTCAACTTGACACAATCTAGAATTACCATGACAGGGCATGTTAAGAGGGATTGGTTAGATTGACTTGGTCCGTTGGCATGTCAGTGAGGGACTATGTGTTAACTAAGGGCAGTTCACAATGGTTGGCCTCACTTCCTGGGAAGGCAATTCTGAATAATATGGGGGAGAAATGGAGCTGATCATCAATCCACTCTCTTTGTTCTAGAATGTGGATGAATGTGACCAGTTCTCTCAAGCTTCTACCTCCCTGACTTCCCTATCAGGACAGATTGTAGCAAGGAGGTTTGAGCTGAGTAAAGCCTTTCTCCTTCAGTTCATTCTTCAGGGTGTTCTTTATCCCAGCAATAGGGAAGGAAACCAAGGCACCTGCTGAGGCATCCTGCTGTCCCAGCTCACAAAGACATGAGCTAGTTTCAGACATGTGCACCTTAAATTTTAGTTAGGTGGGGAATAAATTTATAATATCTGTGCCACATGATGACTGCTGTTAATAGCAGTGCCAGGCACTTGATGATTCCTCAGCATTCTCATTTTCAGCATTCTCCCTAGATTATTAAAAAAAAAGTAATATATGAAGTAGGGAAGATGCTGATTAATTTGTATTTCCTGTTCTGTAACATCAGTGTATTTTAATATGTCATGTTACATACTAAGAATAAATAATTTGAGTCTATATATGGGCATGAATTTTATAAATTTCTCAGTGCTTTTGACCTGAGAGAAAGAATGTCTTCCTATCACTTATTTATTCCTAAAGCCACTGAAATCCTTGGGTTCTGGAGAAGATTTGCTGGTATCTGTTAAATATTACTCTAAGTTTAAGATTATTTGGTTTAATATTTGACAGATTTTTCAAAGAAAATTCTTTAGTACCTGCTGTCTATAAAATTAACCAAATCAGCCTCATCTTACAGAAATTCCCCTGATAACTAATGAGGAAATATTAATAGTCTACTAGTTTGACTCCTTGGTGGGCAGGAAATGGTTGTCTTCCTTTAAACCCTCCCTCAACCAGTTCATCTTCAGCCTGCCATCAATAGACAAGGGCTAAGAGGTAAGTAAGTGGTGCTTCAGTGGTGCCTGAGGATGCTTGAACACAATTTATTCTTTTAAGTGGATTAAATAATTCATCCCAGAAGGTCTCATTACTTGATGATGACATTGCAAAAATTAGCTATTTCTTCTGAGGGAGGATGTTTATAAACTGGATAAGTGAAAGATGAGAGTCAGGCCACCTGGGCTCAGTTGCAGTCCCACACGCTTATAGGCATGATGACAGGGTAAAGATAGTTCACCCCTCTGGGTAGCTGCTGTATGCCCTTTTACTGTGGGCATGGTTGCCAGTTTAGGTGTTGCTGTGAGATATCATCTTTATATCATTTCCTAGAGCAGTTAGAGCTGGGTAAAAGTGGGCCACACTTACACAATGTTGAGGGTATGGATATTCCAAAGAAAAGTTGATTAAAGTGTTAAAATATGTGAATTGTAGATTTACATGCATTCTCCAGGGGAAATCAGATGGCTTTGGCTTGAGCCGGGTCCTTCTTGACTCACCCTAAGATCTGAGCAATTCCTGGTCCTCAGTGGTTTGAGTGAATGAGTAAATTAACTATTAATTGATTTATTCTCATTCTCTTCCTCTTGACGTTTTCCTTCAGGCCTGAACATCTTCCGGCAAGCTGTTTGCCTTGAGAAACAATCAGCACAGGCTTCTGAGAAATAGTGTGGTTTATGTTCTGTGTATGACTATAATAACAAAATGAATTGCTTTTCTGTCACCTGCTTTTCATTGATCCTTCTGTGTGAACCAAAGCCTGTCAGTGTCTTTAAACTGATAAATAGTGATCACAGTGTTTAGCATTTTTTAATACAGTAGTGTGTGTGGTAGTGGTGGGAGGTGAAAGAGCAGGAGATATTTTCAAATAAAAATTAATTTTTTACTTGTATATTCAGGCTTCTCAATTTCCATCAAAAGGCCATCATAAAAATTAGTGAGCAATTTCGCTTCAATATCCAAGAACATAGACGGCACTTTGCTGGAGAGCCTGCAAATTACAAACCTAACAACTTTTATATTAAGAGAGATTTCTTTTAATCAAGACTCCTATTTATATTTTTCAGTGTTTGAATAATTTTGAGCCGTGATATTCGTCTATGCTGCTGGCCAGGAATTTGTTGTGACTTTAAAAGTATGCAGATTGATTTCCAATGTGTCAACATACTGCTCACTTCTTAGCTCTGTCTACAGAGTCACAAAGACTGGCTGTCTACATGCTTTGTCACACACATAGGTAGAACAGCCTAGGGTGTGGAAGAATGGAGGCTGGCTTTAGCAGAAAGGTCTTTTTCAACCAAGTTGAGGCTAGGGGCCTCCTAACTACTGGTTTATGCTTGTGAATATCTAGAGCCCATTCCTTGAGAGCCTTTGCCTGTAAATACCTGAGGTCTACTCCTTGAGGGCCTCTGGCTGTGAATATCTGTGGTCCACAGGAGAACCTCTGCTTGCTGATTGCTAAATGCTCCTGTCTCCTGATTTTCCTTTGTTTCTGTCTGTGTACAAATACAAATTGTGTTATTTCCTGTGTTTTCAATTACCTTACCTTTCCTTCATAATAGCTAATCTTGCTCAAGCCTCATTTTAAAATTCTATATATCCAGTATCTCTTCCATGTTTCTAGAGCACACAGTTGGGGGCTTCTTGTCTGCAGAAGAACATAAGCATGCACTTGTCACTTTTCCTCATAAATCTCATTCTTTTGCATAGCAACTTCTATCCCTCCTAGGAACAATATCTCTGCCTCTGGTCTCTCCTGTCAGTGCAGATTTTCAGTATGGCACTTACTAAGAAGGATGGCCAGAGATCTGACTCTGTGTTTTCCTGCCAATGATGCCAGAATTCTCTGAGAACAAGGAGCTATCTTTTCACAAAAATGAACAGATAATGAAGAAAGTGCATATCAGTGCAGCACAAGCAATAAAAAAAAATTTCCAAGAAGAGAAAGGGATAAATCCATGTTTTAGAAACACTGTTGCCATCTTTCTTCATAAAAGTAGACATTTTGTCATTCACACGAATTTTAATCACTTCAAGTGAACCACAGGCAAACTGAACTGATGCAGAACCTAGAGGTTGCTTGTAGCTGAGGGGAGGGAACGTGTGAGATGAGAAGACAGCCTCTGACTGATGGGATGGAAGAAACAGAGCCTTAAAAATAGTGTGGCGGTAGCACAACCTTGTGAACTTAATTTGTGCTGAACTAAGCAATTAAAATGAATTAAGTACTTAAAATGGCTGAAATGTCAAATATGTGTTTTATATGTGTATATTCATACATGCACTAATATTAATGAGTAATTGTGCATATGTTTCCTAAAAGAAAATGCTTATTTACTAAACCCCTAAATGGAGGTCAGCAATTGGATTTGGAAACAAATACAATTAAGCAATAGCTTTTTGTCCCATTTACTCTCGTTCCAGACAAATACTGGAAATACTTGTGGAATAGAAAATATCGTTTTAAGTCATGTGTTGAATTTACAAAGTGAATTAAACACAATTAAACAATTAAAAGAAAGAGGACACTTTAAGCAAATAAGCCCAGGAGAGTTCATCACTCTGCCGGCCACAGGCAGACTGGCTGTTCAGGACTGTCTGTGTCTGTGAGCACACAGCACCGATAGTGAAATCTCTGCCAGTTGTTTTTGATCGGATGACCTGTCAAGTCAAGCAGTCATGTGGACTGTGGGTCAGGTACATTGGATTTGTGCCTTCAATCTACCCAAGACTTGGTGACCCATGTAAGATGTTTGGTTTTGCCAGTGCACAGTTGTCTCAAATAACATGTCCAAGAAAGAAGTCTAGTGTCATCAGTGTGTGTATGTGTGTGTGCATGTGTGTGAATGTGAAGCACACTGCATTATAGCCTGTTTGAGGCTTTGTCATTCTTGCTAATGTAGAGGTCCAAATAAATTAATGTTGAACAAAGACTTAATCTACAAGAAATATGGTGAATTTTGAAAGTATTTTTATAAGGAATTCTTATCCCCCCTCTTAGAATTTTATTTGGTATATTTCATATTTATGCATTATTATTTCACTAAAATGCTAAGTAATAATTTATATGCTTTGTGGAAATAAATATTAAAGACAACACCAAGAACTGTTACTGTTGACTGTCTACAAGTTACATTTCATAAGCTAACATAGTTAAAAGACACAGATCCTGTATCTTGGAGGATGTTCTAACAAGCAATGATGCCATTGTTTGGATTTTTTCTAACCCATTTCTTTTTCTGTTTCCCTTCTTTCCATGCTGACTTTGATGTAGCAGACCACTTGGGGATTGAATTCATGGGTAAGACAACACTATTTGTTCCTTAAATATTCTAAGATCACTTTGATACTCTACATATTGTACACCTTCTCTATCTCATTAAAATCAAAATTACTCGTTACCAGGCCCTATTTGTATTAAAAAAAAAAAAACTCTTTAGTCCACTTCACATTTGGAAAAGGCTCAAAATAGAAGCCTTAACTACATATTCAGAAGGTGATATTCAGTATTTCTGAAATTTTGCAGAAATGGGATTTGCTTCTAGGCCTTGATAGTTTCCTCTCATCCTTCCATTTTCTTATCTGTAAAATTAGGGTGCTAACAGTACCTATTTTAGTATATGTAAATTGCTTAGCACAGTATTTCCACATGGAAAACATACATGATAGGGATAGACAACAACAATTCCAAAATCTATCGCATTATTTTCTGCTCAAATCCCTTTCCTCTTACAAGCTGGTTGTTTTGGTACATTTTAGCATCAACACTAACTTGTATTATAAACATACACATATCCATTAAAAATTGTAATAATTCTTAAAGTATTGCTAATTAAAGACACATTTTTTTTAAATGTCAGGATGTCTTCAAGGGACTTTACTCTCTATAGTCATAGACAATTTTGTTAAAAATTGAAGGTAGTTCTAAGTCTATAACAGTTAAATAAAATACATGCCATGAAGCTCAATATGGAAAGATAATTAGTAGCTAAGAGTTAGTTAAATTGAGAAAACCTACATTTGAGCCTGGGTTCTTCAAGTTTTGCCTGTTTGGATTTTAAACCGTTTTTTTTTTCCATTATATAACCTAGACATGAATTCTTGCTTCATATGTATATGTGGATGGTGAGAATTCATATAAATTCACTTCTACTCATTCATTCACTCTCCCAATCATTCTGATGATGCTCATCCAGTCCCAGTCAGTAAAAAAGAAGGCAGATTACCAGAAGTAGGCTGGACAGAGTTTAGAGTCCAATAACTTACAATAAAAAAAAAAATGTCCATGTATCTTAATTCTACTCAGACAAAATTATATTAGCTTTGAGTCATGGGGTATAGGAACTATATGAAAAGCTGTTATATATTTAGAATGTCATATCAATAAATATTTGAAATGGGGTGATGATGAAGGCTACTCTGGAATATTTTCAAGGATGACAGCCACTTTTACTTTTGTGTTCTTAGTTGTGAGGTTTCCTATTACTGAGAAAATGCAGACAGTGAAGGACATTTATATGAGATGCTTATGAGATTAGATACAGAAATGTGAGTTGGGGGTACATTATTTGAGAAAAAATGCCAAGTAGGTTGTTGTATTTCAGGAAGTATGGAGGTTTATTGATTAGTGGTCTCATTTTCATATCAGAATTTCTCTTCCCTATTTCATGACCTGACTCATTAGTGATCTGTTATTTGGTTATTTCACCATTGATACAGCAGACAGCTCAGTTACTACATGTTTGAGACATTGGTAGGAAAATTGGGTTAAAACACATGAAAGGTAATGAAATCCAGGATATTACTCAATTGAAGTTTGAATTCAACCATTTAATGTGTGATTTGTTTTTTTTTTTTTTTTTTTTTTTTTTTTTTTTTTTTTTTTTTTTGGTTTTTCGAGACAGGGTTTCTCTGTGTAGCTTTGCGCCTTTCCTGGAGCTCACTTGGTAGCCCAGGCTGGCCTCGAACTCACAGAGATCCGCCTGGCTCTGCCTCCCGAGTGCTGGGATTAAAGGCGTGCGCCACCAACGCCCGGCTTAATGTGTGATTTGTATGAGAGTAAGTTAAGGAAGGATGAAATCAAATAATACTCATAATTAAAGTGCTTGAACAAATGTGTACTACAAAATAGAGATTGTGATCACCTTGTGTATTAATGGATAACAAATGATTTAAAGAAGGAGTTATGAAAAAGGAAAAATTTCAGATCATGCTTATGAGAATGAGAGAAAGAAGCAAACAAATTTAACTGGAAGTCAATATTTGGAAAGATATGGTTTTAGATCATGTATAAGTAGATATTACTATTGCTCAAGATGAAACAAGAGTTTTAGAATTGAAATAAATGTTTATCTTATGCAAAATTCTCCAATACCAGAGTCCAAGAGAATACAATGGGAAGGAGTTTGTGATTTATAGCTAAGATTATTAGTAGCTGGATAAGAAAATAATTTCTTAGTGCCTCGAAGAAGGAGCATTTTCTTGTGGGGGAGTATTCTTTCTTGCCCATGGCATGAGGCTCTGGTCAATGAGTGACTACTTTTCACCTCACTACTTGTCATCTCACTCTAGCTAGCAACACTGGGACAGAGACACAGGCTTCCTGAAGAGACTTGGTCTGAAATGACTCACACCAATTTTTTCTTAATGGTTTGTTCACTAGAACTAATCAAATAATACCATTATTTTGCAAGTGAGACTAGGAAATGCAACCTTCATTAAAAAAATGAGGAGTTTTATTAATTCATACCGTAATATGAATTCCAGAAATGTGAAAAGAATTAGAAATTTTGGAAGACACAAGGAAAAGTTCTCTAAGAGCCAGGAATACAGTTCCATAACTTTGCTGGTATAAACAAAGTTGAAACAGCTTTTAAAAATGGAAAAGGAGAATTGGACTATTCGCATAAGATTTTTGTTTTAGTCAAAGTAGGAAAACAATGGAGTCAAAAAGGAGACTGTGAATGCTGAGGGGTGAGTAAAGATATAGATGAGAATTTCCAGAGGAGGAAGAGATTAAAGCTAAGCCATGAGCAGCAACAAGTTACAGAAACAATGAGCATGGTTTATGTGAAAGAGAATAAGCCAGTGAGAAGGGTAAGCAGTTAGCACTTCCCATTCACCAATGGCAGCAGGGAATATATATCAGTGGCATGGGTTTATGGCCCTCAAAGTCATTTTGAAAAAAATGAGCACTAGACCTCATGGATAAAGAAATTTGCTCTACTGAGCTGTGGTGATTGCAGGGTCTGAGAACCATTGTTTCATGGCTATTGAGCAGAACACCTGTAGACATAGATATCACCACACAGCTGGTGGGAGGGCTGGAGCTTTTTAGATCCCAGAAGCAAAGTGGCAAACTAGCAAATGAAATTGCTATACAAAATGTTAATCATCTCTGTTGAAAGAAATAGACCAGTCTCCATCATATCAGGAGACTTCTAGTATTGCTGACATGTATAGTACAGTGGAACTAAAATGTGTACTGAAAGGTCTAAGTGAGAACTCATTTGAAGAGTGCAATTCTTGGTCCAGGTAAAATAGTAGGTTACTGTGTAGTTATCCATATGACACTCAAGCATGAGGTTATAGTAAATCTTGCAAAAATTAGAGTCAAATCATAGGTCTAAAGTCTTACAGGGAATGAGTTCTCAGTGTGTGACTATTTGACTCCTGAAATAGATCTTGCCTGGGAGAAAAGGAGTTGACCAGTTAGATGGAGCTAAGGGAAATGTCTGGTATGCAGGTACCTAATGACATCTGTAAAAGGATGGTTTGGAGCAGTGAGTGGTTTACACAGTTAGTGAATATACTGTTTCAGTTGCCTTACTTATCCACTTTATATACTCACTGAATTTAAATATTTAAATATGTAAAATGATGTTTGTGAGTTTGCAAATAAATATTTTGAATTTAATCTATAATTATAGAATTGATGTAGGTAAACTGTCTTGAAGATGATTATTAAATTCTTAAATCATCTATAAATGAAAATTCTATATGAAATGGAAGAGTAAGATAAAACGTATATGAATTTTATCTTATTGGTCTATTGGTGAGCAGATAATTTATACCAGTTTTGTTCACATGTGTGTATGTAGGGGTAGGTGAATTGTTTAAGTGGAACTTACTTTTACAGCACTCTTAAGTTCACAGCAAAATACAGTAGAAAATTCCAAGATTTCCTGTACATCTCTCACATGTGCACAGCCTCCCCATCGTTTGAATTTCCCACACGAGAGATGCTTGTGTTACCCCTAATTCTGCTACATATGCCTTTCCTTTCCTCAACCCCTGACAGTCACCAATCTTTGTATCATTACTATACTTTTGCCTTTTCTAGAATGTCGGGATGGTGGAATGTAATCTTCTATACTGGCCATAAGCATTGCTGCCTTTTTTTTTTTACTGTCATAATAGTTCAGTAAGATTAAACATGTGTGTGATGTGAAGCATTTGTCAAGAGACAGCAACACCTCCATGTCTTTTCATGGTTTTACAGAAAATGTCCTTTTATTGCTGAGTAGTAGTTCAGTGTCCAAATGTCTCACAGTTTGCTTAATAATTTAATCTCACAAAACTCCTCTGGTTCTTTCCAAGACTTGACAATTCTCAATCTAACTTCATGATAAACATTCACATATAGGTTTATATATAGATGTGAACTTTCTTTCCTGATGGATCAGGTGGTGAGGATACATTGTTTTATAAGAAATAGTTTCACTCTCTGATACAGTGTCTGTACCACAATGTGTTTCAGTCAGTAATGCAGGAGCAGGATTGTTGCTCACATCCTGGCAGGACTTAACCCCTGTTAGCATCCTGGATTTCAACATTTCCAACAGGTGTGCAGTGCCATCACATTCTCTGCATTTGCCTCTTCCTGACGTCTAATGTGGAACACTTTTCACTATGCTAATTTGCCATCTATAAATTTTCTTTGGTGACGTGTTCATCAAGATCTTTGGTGCAGTTTTGATTTCTTTTATGGACTTAGAATTTCAAGAGTTCTTTCTATATGTTGGCTTGCAGTATTTTCTCAGCTACATCTTTGGCAATTACTTCCTGTCAAGTAATGGCTTCTGTTATTATTGTCTTGCCAATACACTTCACAGATAAAAAATTAATTTTAGCGAACTGTGATTCTTATATAATTCTTTCTTTTGTACAACTTGCATTTAGTCTCTTTTGTCTAAAGTGTTATTGCCTCTTGATGTCATTCTAGGTTATTTTCTAGTAATGTTACAGCTTTGCATTTTGCATTTTAGAATAAGATTCATTTTGAATTACTTTTCCTGAATA